AGAGGGGATATCGAACACAGGTTCTCGTTATATGCTGACGACCTCCTTCTGTATGTGCGCGATCCTATAGCTAGTACTCCACACATTCTCTCACTTTTGACCACTTTTGGTTCATTTTCAGGATACAAATTAAACATCCAAAAGAGTGAATGTTTCCCTATCAACCAATTGGCTACAGAATTACCTCCGTTGTCGTTGCCTTTTAGAATATCCAACTCAGGGTTTAAATATATGGGCATTGCAATCACGCAGTCTTTTAGTGCGCTACGGGAACACAATCTTACTGTCCTGACGGCAACAGTCAAATCTGACCTGCAGAGGTGGGGCCATCTGGCACTCTCTTTAGCAGGAAGAGTTCAGACAATAAAAATGAATGTACTGCCCAGATATCTATACATGTTCCAATGCCTACCTATTTTTTTGCCTAAATCTTTTTTCACTGCTATTGATAATATTATTTCCTCATTTATTTGGGCTGGTAAACATGCAAGAGCTAGTAGACCATTACTGCAGAGGGACAGGTTCCTGGGTGGGCTTGGTTTACCTAACCTTATGGGTTACTACTGGGCCACAAACACACACAAGATCATGCTCTGGTTCACTTCACCCCAGAGTGACTGGTGTCTTGTGGAGGCCAACTCATGTCGATCCACGTCACTTCAAGCCCTCGCGTGTAGCACTCTGCCCCTTTCCCCCTCACAATTCACATCTAACCCCGTTGTAATTGGCACTTTAAAGATCTGGGCACAAGTTAGACGTCACTTTGGTTGGCTTACTCTTCCTCAAGCAACTCCTGTCTGTAACAACCATCTATTTTTACCAGCCACAATTGACCCCCCGATTTTCTCACTTGAAGAGGGAAGGCCTCCGCTGCATAGGGGAGTTATACATTGATAGCCTGTTTGCCAGTTTTTGACCAACTACGGGTTGCCTTTAATCTAAGAGGATCTGATTTCTTTAGATACTTTCAACTAAGGGATTTTGCTAAGACCCACTCTCCACAATTCCCTCAATCCCTGCCTCCCAGTGGAGTGGATCTTGTACTTAGAGCAAGAACTTTGTCTAGGCGCCATGTCTCTTACTTTATGATCTTTTTTCTCCGGTTGATGAATCTGCCATTAACAAGATTAGAACTAATTGGGAAAAGGAACTACAGTTTCACCTTCTCTGATGACTTTTGGAAGAAGGCCCTGAGAGCCGTTAACTCATCCTCCAGTTGCGCTAGACTCAGCCTAATACAGTTTAAAGTTCTCCATAGACTACATTATAGCAAGGCTAAGCTCTCCAGGATTTATCCAGATAGATTGGATGACCGGTGTGATAGATGCTCCCAGGCCCCCTGCGACCTGACTCACATGTTCTGGTCGTGCCCTAAATTATCTAGCTTCTGGCAATCTTTCTTCGAATGTATTTCTGAAATTGTAGGTCTAAAAATCTCTCCATCCCCTCATGTAGCTATTTTCGGTAGGCCCCCAGATGGAATCAACATTACAAACACTCAAACCAATGTCATGGCCTTTACCTCCTTGATTGCTCGTAGGAAATCCTTCTTTTGTGGAAATCTCCTTTACCTCCCTCTTTTAAAATGTGGCTGAGTGATACTATGTCTCTTCTAAAGTTGGAAAAAATTAAGTTTACTCTCCGGGGTTCCTCAGATAAGTTTTACGCTCATTGGAGGCCACTGATCAGCTATGTAGACCGTCTTCCCCCTGATATGGTGTCGCTGTAGGGATTCTCCCTTTATTTATCCGTCTATAATTCTGATATGATTACTCCCCTGTCCACCACATAGGCAGCCCATGTGACATCCCTGGATATGTGTTAGTATGTATGTATGTATATGTATATTATTGTATCTATCATTTTGTATTGTATTGATGTACTGTTGCCTCAGTGCTCCGGGAGAGGGGTGGTTGGGATGGGGCGGGGTTAAGGGAAAGTGAGTAAGGGTTCTTTTGGGAGGGAAAAAATGAAAATGCCTTAATTGCTGTAATGCACTGTTACACTTTCTTTTCTTTTTTTACATGTGAATACAAATATATGAAAAAAAAAAAGAAAAATCTTGGGTGGGTCACGTGATGGCGGCGAGGTGAACACACGTTTTGGCTGGAGCTCCGTGCCACTCGGTTCTAATTATGCTATTATCCTGTTATTAACCGTGTTTTGGAAGCCACTTTTCGTATGAGCATTTCAGGCTATGTCCTTGGAAAACTTTTGGCCACAGTCTTTTGACAAAATGGGAAGAACTCAAAGGAATAGAGACAAGAAAGACACCGCTGAATCTGAGCCTGGTGAATGCACGCAAGATGGCGACCAAGCCGAATCTGTTATCTCTGACGAACTCGACCCTGCCCTTGCCAAAGCCCTAAACTTCATGACTGCTAACATCATAAAAGTAATCGATGATAAACTCAGCCCGCTGGTCGAGACTATTCATAACCACTCTGTGGAGCTCCAGTCTGCTAACAGGCGGCTAGATGAGGCAGAGACCAGGATCATGGCCGTGGAAAACTCCGCCACAGCGCAAGAGCCGAGGATAGCCGAATTAGAGAAGCAGGTCAGTGCTCTGGCGGAGAGTTTAGATATGGCTGAAAACTACAACAGGCGTCTGAATATTCGGGTCGTCGGCTTGGCTGAGGGCACAGAGACGGGGCAACCACACTCAAAGAAATAACTCATTGGATTAACTCAATTTTATTGTTGGCAGGTTTTCCATCCAATAAATATATGTGGCACAAACTCAAACTAATGGCATCCATGCAGTATAATGTAAATGAGTTAGTCCAACTCAAATTTTTCAAATAGAGTTTAAGTAAAATGATAACATTACCTTTATGAATTTAAATAATGCTAGTCCACCTAAATCCTATTTAATTAATTGAAAATGAAATAATGAGGTTAAATATAATTTAATAAAAATGTGTTACACATGATAGAAAACATGGTTTAGTTTTTTTTATTTTTAAATTCACATTATTCAAAACAATCCTCCATTCAATACAGTCTTTTTAAAATGAATGAATTCACACTGAAAGATGAAAAACATTTCTGAAAGATAATACCATTTTAAATGGCAGAGAAATGGAACTCCTATAATTAACTTACAAATCTCCCTTTGCCAAATACAATGAATACAATATAACAGGGGTATGCACTGCTCTTCTAACAGGACAATAACACATAACATAAAGAGTGCACTGCAAACACCAACATATGGAAATAGTGTTACAGTGTGTTGAAACAAATACAGAAAAGCACAGAACAAATGATTGATATAACGGCTCAATCTGCTCTGACTAGGAAACTCGTGAATAAAATGACAACAATGAACTCATGAGTCACTTCTTTTTCACATTTCAATCGAACAACTTGATCTTCAGACTTTCGATTTTACCATTCAGCTTGTGCCCATCCAGATTCATCACTACCTTCTGCATGAACTCGAAGGTGTGTTTGAGGTTGTCCGGAAAGCTCAAATCCAGGGCATAAATAAGTCCCAATAGCATGACAAACCCCACAATCACGCTGCCCAAGTTGTCCATGACTATATTGCCTTCGATGACAATTCCCACGTCCTCTGGCTGCCCATCCACATCTCTTTGAAGTGTGTATATGCCCATGACTGTGTTTGCCATGTCCCTCTTGGCATCTTCAGAGGCAGAGGCCTGAACAAAGACACAAACATACAACATATGTGTTAACTAAAACCTGAATTACTACATTTTATAGAAGCAGATTTACTTATGTGGCTCTCCTAATTGATCAAAACAGTTTTAGACTAACCCTCTGGTATCACTCAAATGTACTACCCTATTTGGCCACTCAGGATAAAAATGTCCACTTTCAAAAACTTGAATGATAAAATGATATGATACAAATATTATATTTAAATATTTTTCCCCCACACTTTTTGGGAAGTGTGGGAACATTTTTTAAATGGACAATTAGGGTAATTTGTACAGTGTATTCGAGACCGATTAGAAAAATTGAAATTCCAAAAAGTATCTAGAAAAACACAAAATCATTATAGCCAAATCTGATGTGAAAAATTACCAATTTGGACAAAAATGTCCGAGTGATACCAGAGAAGGTTAGGACCTCCAACACAGAACTAAATTAAGCTTGTAAGAAAAATGTTTGCATAAATAAGTTATAAAGATATATTCCTGTATGTTCTGTTTGATTATCAACGTTATCTTATTTATTAATTCAGGTATTATTTGTTTACGTCCCTACTTAATCATGTAATTTGTTGTTATTCCTGTAGTTAATTATGCATTTACCTACTTATTTCGATATGTATTTGATTATTTATTCTTTAATAATTTATTTCCTTGATTTATGTGATTATGTAATTATTCCTTTAACAATTTAGTAATTGCTGCATTCACATACCTTTTTAAACATGAATCTATTGATTAATATATTTCAGCATTTATTTATTATTTATTTATGTATTTATTCAATTATTTATAAGTTCTTACATATGTATTCATGTCCATATTTATTTATTCATTTATAGATGTATTTATATATAAATGTAAATATTTATTTCAGCATTCATTTATTATTTGTATTTATTTCCAGATATATTCATGTTTTAATTCACATTTGTATTTATCAATTGTATTCCTATGTTAATTTATAGATGTATTTATATCTGTATAAATGTATTAATTCACTTTTTCTATATTTATTTTAACACTTGCCCGATGAAATTAACTTCTGTATCTATTTATTATTATTTTTTTATTTCTGTATTTATTCATTCTTACATATATTCATTCCTATATTAATGTATAGATTTATTTATTTCTGCATGTATTTATGATATGTGATAAGATATTTAGATGTAAGCAGGGATAGGGTTGTGTGCCATATAATTTTCTTATTATAAATGTAAGTAATGGTGGTTATAATTGTGGGTAACACTGTTAACCAATACATTGAAACATATTGTGATAAACATACCTGATACTCCTTAAAAAAAGAGTCTGGATCCCTCGTTGAGGTAGATCGCGATGCTTCGCAGGATGCACCCCCTCTTGATGTGGATGTTTTCAAACTAAAGCAGGGGCGATAAATCAAAGACAATTAAGCACAATGCATGTGCAACAGAGCAGGTAGTTTACAACGTAGAGGGCTGTATCTGTCGTGTGTGTCCCTAAGCAGGACTCCTTACACCTACATTTCCACAATAAGCTATTGCCTTAAAAACACTATAAAAGCAGACAATTTCTTAAATGTGTTCATATGATCATGGACAAAACAATACAGTGAAAAACGAGGTTCTCTGCATTTATACTAACCGAATCTGATATTGCAAGGGCTTCCTTGATTTTGTGCCCCTTCACTCCTCCTTTGGTCTTGAAGATCTTCAAGAGCTTGTCTGAGAAGTGGTCCAGCTGCCACATGAACTTTGATTGAAGTGGTGATGTTGTGATCCTCAAAAACTCCGCATTCACCTTAAAAATATTATTAACAAGCACAATACAACCAATTGTTACTTGTTTATTAGAATCACAACCATGCAAGGATGTAGACATGAATCACAAAAGACAATAATAAAAGACTGTCAACAAATACAAATATTTACTTACTTCACTCTGCTGAAACAGAGCAGGCCATCTGCATTTGAAGTCCCCTATCAAAAGGCCTTTGCTCCACAATCTCAAGGCGTCTGTGAGAGAAGGTTTTTTCCATTTTGCTTTTATCACCACTTCATTGTCACGCTTTTTCAGTTCTGACAATAAGGCAATTCTCTCGTTCTCCAAGCTTTCTGTGGTTTCGCCTTTTGGGTGCAGAGGAATGTAGTTTACTTCAGCTTTCTTGGTTTTTTTATGTTTGCTGCAGCTTGGCCTTGGCCTGTTTTCTTGTGCTTTAAGGAGTTCACAAGGATTTCAGGATGGTCCAAGACGGCCAAGCTTTGTACGATAGTTTTGCATTTGTACTTAAGAGACTGTTTCCACCCCCCAAATCCTGTCTTGGATCCTAGCTGCCCCAAACAAGGTGGGCCCTCGTCAACGCTGCAGCTACCTCTTCACACTGATAGTCCTTTCGGATATTTGTGAATTTGATCATTTCTTGGGCTAGGCCATCAAGAATGACTCCTTTCAGCTTTAGGCCAGGCTGGAAGTATGTACCAGTTGTCTCAAACTCTGCATTCTTTAGATGAAGCTCAAATTCAGCCTCGTAGGTGAGCTAGGAAACCACAAAAACTGTGGGCCAGGATAACAATTGTGAGGCCTGAGCTTCAGGGGATGGATGCGGGGTTGACGTATACACCATATCATCACTGCAGCATGAGGCTATTGATGATTCAGGGATTAGAGGCTCTGAGCTTCCAGTAATTGAGGTCTTATCAAATGAGTCAACTGTGTACAAAGTGATGGAGGGGCTCAATATTTGACAATATAGGGAGAGTAAATTACTTTCAGTGTGCTTTTATCCTGAATTTCAGACACTGATGTAAGATTCATGAACTCGTTAAAGTCAACATCCATGTATTGCAGACGGAAGTCCTCTTTCAATTGAAGAGATGTCTTGACAAATGTGTGCAGTTCTTCAACTGGTTGCTGGGATTCCCGAATCCAGGGTCAGTTTTCTAGAGTCAGACTGGTCGGCAAGATGATGCGCAGAAGCGCCCGACCTGCCATTATGGAACACCTTTTAATCTAGAGCAGAAACAAGGTGAAAGAAACACATTAGGATTATATCAAAGATGAACATAAAAATGGTTTTACAGTTTTTGTCAGAGCCTGCTATCCAGAGCTCAGACTATTTAGGTTTAAAAATGATACTCACCTTTAACAATGATGAATCTTTTCAACATTACCATGCGCAAACTCCCAACCATGTAGTCAACAAGGGGATAGGGGTCTACCAAGTCAGCAAGCTCAATAACGGCAACCTCTGTATTGGGCGAGGCAGACAGCTCAAAAGCACCATAATGCTCTCTGTACCAAGCACATGCGTCTTTTACCAGAAAACACAACTTCTCCTTAACAATGCAAAGTTTAATGATCTCATGGAATTTAGGCAGTCCATCTGCAGATCCGTGTACAATAATCATCCCCTCGCAGTAACGTATACCCAAGCTAGACACATTGTTTGCCATATGAACCTCAGTCACATCTGGGAAACTTTGTTTCAGTGTAGACACGACTCCCTCATTAAGGACATCAACAGGCAATGTGTTCAATGACAATAACGTTAAATCGAATGTAATATAATCTAATGATCTCCATTATCCAGTATTCAATGCTAACCGTATCTAGCAAGCTAGCTAACAAACCAGTTATCCAGCTAGCTAGCTTGCTGCTTTACCTCGTGCACTTGAATTACTCTTTGCATTTTTTGGTTGAATTTAAACTGAATTTCGGTGTACTGTGTTCAATGACAATAACGTGACATCTAATTTAATATAATCTAATGATCTCTACTATCCAGTATTCAATGCTAACCATATCTAGCAAGCTAGCTAGCTTGCTGTTTAGACCCAACTAAAAACGGAGCAAAATATAACACGGTGGTTTCAAATATTCTTGTCGATATAATGAAAAGGCATTAGGCCTACTTGGAAACAGGGAACATTCTAAACTACTAGAAAAAACAAATACTTACCAAATAATAGACTTTCCACCGTCAGTTTCCCCAGTCAGTTTCCAGTCAGTGTTAGACAAAAGGCGGCAAATGACAGAACGGATCTTGTGCATGCGCAAAGGTGATGTGCAAAGGGGCGGTCCCAAATGATAACAATTCATTTTGAGTTGCTCTGTCTTAAATACATTTAATAAGTGAATTGATTAATGTAATTTGTGTTACACTAATGAACTATACTTAGGTTTATTTCTTAAATAAAAATATTTAAGTAAAGTGAAACAATTATTAAGTGTCAAGTCTAAGAAGGGCTTGAATCGTTTTTTTTGAGTGCAGTGGATTTCTTTGAATCGTGGTTGCCACTCACCCTTGGCATGGCTACAAAAGCGGGGCGCATAAAACTGGAAAGAGCACACCGCTCGTTAGCTCCCAGACCGGACCCGAACAGTACCCAGGTCGGTGTTGTTGCGACTTCATACATTCAGAGACAAGCAGAAAGTGATGGAGCGGCACGGCGAGCCAGTCAAGACGGCGCCCTTACACAATGGATCCAGGCTCTCTTTCTACAGCGACTTCTCTCCGGTGGTGATGAGGAATGCAAGGTGTATGATGCGGCGAAACAGCGCTACGGGAGAGAGGAATACCGTATGCTATGCTCTTCCCGGCTACTCTACAGGTGTCCCACGGAGGCTCCAAGAAGAGGTTTTCTTCCCCGGAGCTAGTACGCGATTTCCTGGACTCCCTGTCTGGATAATAATCTCCTGCAGCACGGCATAGACTTAAAACGTTACACTCTTTTTCACATAATCCGAGTGGCGCGGTTGCCCACATGTGAGTATTACTTTTATATTGTATAGGGATTACTCCGTACGGTGTGCTTTTTTTCTTATAAATGTTTACTCTTATCCACTGCCATTTCGCTCTTTGTGGTGCGATTGAGAGTTACTGGTTTGGTGAACAGTCCCTGTTATTTTGTGGAAATGCCCTCAACTTGTATTTGTGTTGTTTACAGTTTTATGCTTGTTTGTTCAGTGTTGTTGTCTTGCTCAGGACATGCATGTCTCAGGTTTGAGTTGCGTATAATTACGACTGTATTAGTCGCTTGATGCTGCTATTAGAGGAGGTGGGGGCTATGCCCTGGGATTGGGCTGGTTATTATTTCATTAACAGGACCAATACAATGTATCATGACTATGTCTAATTGAAATACCATAAAGCTCTGTTCTTGGAATGTCCGTGGTCTCCAGAAGCCTGCCAAGAGGATGGCAGTATTGTCATATTTGAAAAAGGAGGATGTTTCTATTGCTTTCCTTCAGGAGACTCACTTGGAAGACAAAGACATTGCAAAATTACAGAAGAGCTGGGTGGGGCAGGTTTTTGCAACATCATACTCATCATGTAGTAGGGGTGTGGCCATTCTGGTTAGTAAAAAGCTTGCCTTTAGGTCCCTTGACTGTGTTAAAGACAGTCAGGGTCGCTATGCGATTGTCAAAGCAGTACTCTCTGGTAAGGCTATAACACTTGTGAATCTCTATTGCCCTCCTGCTTATCCCACTGATTTTCTGTCCAAGGCCTTTGCAGAGTTTACAGAACTGGCATCTGAGGACTCCTTCGTGGGAGGTGATTTTAACTGCCATCTTAATCCCTCTCTGGATACATTTCCACCAGGCATCAATCCCCCTTCAAGCAAGCTAGGGTGCTCAATTCTATATGTAATGTTAACTGTGATCGTTATTCTCGCGTCCAGGAAAGAGAAGCTTAAAAAAGGAGACTAAATGAGTCTCTGGAGGTTCATATTTGGTACTTTAATTAATAAAAAGGCGCGGTAAGTCACAAACAGGATTTTGTTCGACAGAAAAGCAGCTGTCTCTGGCTCTCGCTAGCAGAGGGAAAAGAGAGGCCGAACCGCTCAGGTGCTGCTGCTATATATCTTCTCCTGGCTCCTCCCTGCGGGCCGGCCCTCCACATCTTAATGTCCGTTGTTACGTTAAACAGAGGATTTAGGCATTGTACATTCAATATATACTTAAACACGCCTCTTCTCCTCATATTGTCTTTCATCACTTTTCAACACATTCTAAACGTTGTAGTTAATATTCTAAAAATACAGAAAATACTTCACGGCTGGTTTGGTTTCTGGTCATTCCGGATGTTGTCACATCTTACCCACGTCTGTAAACAATAACTTTATTCAAATAAACTGTACCTAAATTTAATATTCAGCATATAATACGTCTATAGTTCAGTGTTAAAATCAGTAGGTTTCGGTGTGCATCACTCCATGTCATTTCGCTACTAAATTCACCTCTATAAGAAATGGTAAACTAGCCACATGCTAACTGCTAACCGGAGATGAAGGATTTTCAGAATAAATACTTAACAACTGGTTGTGCACAATAACTTCTGGTTTTTCAGTATAAAACAGCATTTAAACTGAAGGTATGTTTAAGGTACATTATGCTATCAAAACATTGATTTTAATTTCTAACAGTAATGACATTGGGTATTCAGATGTATGGAGGGAGCTTCATTCCACTGACTCAGAGTTTACTTTTTTTTCTGCCCCTCATAAAAGCCACACTCGAATTGATTACCTTTTTATTCCATGTTCAAAAATATTCTTGGTTCTGTCATGTACCATAGGTAGCATTATCCTTTCTGACCACGCACCCCTATATATGGTGTATTCTCTTTCTGAGGAAAGAGCATTGTCAAGGCGCTTGAGACTTCAATCACTCTTATCTAAAGGATGATAATTTCATTTCCTATTTTATGTCAGAATTCAAGGTGTTCTATTCAATTAACTCATCATCTACTAATCCCTCTATCCTGTAGGAAACTTGTAAAGCATACTCTCGGGGCTTGATTGTGTCTTTTGTAGCTTCTAAGAGACGCAGAAAGATTGAACAACATAAGCTACTTGAATCTACGTTATCTGACTTGGAGAAACGCTACATATCAAGCCCAGGCCCAGTTGTTGTGCGTAGACGGCTCTGCTAAGATTGTTCCCTAGTTTAGGTTTCATGTTATGTGTTTAGATAGGTTCCTGTTT